GTTGAGTCTATGGGCAGTATTGAGTCTATGGGCAGTGTTGAGTCGATGGGCAGTGTTGAGTCTATGGGCAGTGTTGAGTCTATGGGCTGTGTTGAGTCTATGGGCAGTGTTGAGTCTATGGGCAGTGTTGAGTCTATGGGCAGTGCTGAGTCTATGGGCAGTGTTGAGTCTATGGGCAGTGTTGAGTCTATGGGCAGTGCTGAGTCTATGGGCAGTGTTGAGTCTATGGGCAGTGTTGAGTCTATGGGCAGTGCTGAGTCTATGGGCAGTGTTGAGTCTATCGGCAGTATTGAGTCTATGGGCAGTGTTAAGTCGATGGGCAGTGTTGAGTCTATGGACAGTGTTGAGTCTATGGGCAGTATTGAGCCTATGGGCAGTGTTGAGTCGATGGGCAGTGTTGAGTCTATGGGCAATGTTGAGTCTATGGGCAGTGTTGAGTCTATGGGCAGTGCTGAGTCTATGGGCAGTGTTGAGTCTATGGGCAGTGTTGAGTCTATGGGCAGTGCTGAGTCTATGGGCAGTGTTAAGTCTATCGGCAGTATTGAGTCTATGGGCAGTGTTGAATCAATGGACAGTATTGAGTCAATGGGCAGTGTTGAGTCTATGGGCAGTGTTGAGTCTATGGGCAGTGTTGAGTCTATGGGCAGTGCTGAGTCTATTGGCATGGGCAGTGTTGAGTCTATGGGCAGTATTGAGTCTATCGGCAGTGTTGAGTCGATGGGCAGTGTTGAGTCTATGGGCAGTGTTGAGTCTATGGGCAGTATTGAGACTATGCGCAGTGTTGAGTCGATGGGCAGTGTTGAGTCTATGGGCAGTGTTGAGTCTATGGGCTGTGTTGAGTCTATGGGCAGTGTTGAGTCTATGGGCAGTGTTGAGTCTATGGGCAGTGCTGAGTCTATGGGCAGTGTTGAGTCTATGGGCAGTGTTGAGTCTATGGGCAGTGTTGAGTCTATGGGCAGTGTTGAGTCGATGGGCAGTGTTGAGTCTATGGGCACTGTTGAGTCTATGGGCAGTGTTGAGTCTATGGGCAGTGTTGAGTCGATAGGCAGTGTTGAGTCTATGGGCAGTGTTGAATCAATGGGCAGTATTGAGTCAATGGGCAGTGTTGAGTCTATGGGCAGTGTTGAGTCTATGGGTAGTGTTGAGTCTATGGGCAGTGTTGAGTCGATGGGCAGTGTTGAGTCTATGGGCAGTGTTGAATCAATGGGCAGTGTTGAATCAATGGGCAGTATTGAGTCTATGGGCAGTGTTGAGTCTATGGGCAGTGTTGAGTCTATGGGCAGTATTGAGACTATGCGCAGTGTTGAGTCGATGGCCAGTGTTGAGTCTATGGGCAGTGTTGAGTCTATGGGCTGTGTTGAGTCTATGGGCAGTGTTGAGTCTATGGGCAGTGTTGAGTCTATGGGCAGTGCTGAGTCTATGGGCAGTGTTGAGTCTATGGGCAGTGTTGAGTCTATGGGCAGTGCTGAGTCTATGGGCAGTGTTGAGTCGATGGGCAGTGTTGAGTCTATGGGCACTGTTGAGTCTATGGGCAGTGTTGAGTCTATCGGCAGTATTGAGTCTATGGGCAGTGTTAAGTCGATGGGCAGTGTTGAGTCTATGGACAGTGTTGAGTCTATGGGCAGTATTGAGCCTATGGGCAGTGTTGAGTCGATGGGCAGTGTTGAGTCTATGGGCAATGTTGAGTCTATGGGCAGTGTTGAGTCTATGGGCAGTGCTGAGTCTATGGGCAGTGTTGAGTCTATGGGCAGTGTTGAGTCTATGGGCAGTGCTGAGTCTATGGGCAGTGTTAAGTCTATCGGCAGTATTGAGTCTATGGGCAGTGTTGAATCAATGGACAGTATTGAGTCTATGGGCAGTGTTGAGTCTATGGGCAGTGTTGAGTCTATGGGCAGTGTTGAGTCTATGGGCAGTGCTGAGTCTATTGGCATGGGCAGTGTTGAGTCTATGGGCAGTATTGAGTCTATCGGCAGTGTTGAGTCGATGGGCAGTGTTGAGTCTATGGGCAGTGTTGAGTCTATGGGCAGTATTGAGACTATGCGCAGTGTTGAGTCGATGGGCAGTGTTGAGTCTATGGGCAGTGTTGAGTCTATGGGCTGTGTTGAGTCTATGGGCAGTGTTGAGTCTATGGGCAGTGTTGAGTCTATGGGCAGTGCTGAGTCTATGGGCAGTGTTGAGTCTATGGGCAGTGTTGAGTCTATGGGCAGTGCTGAGTCTATGGGCAGTGTTGAGTCGATGGGCAGTGTTGAGTCTATGGGCACTGTTGAGTCTATGGGCAGTGTTGAGTCTATGGGCAGTGTTGAGTCGATAGGCAGTGTTGAGTCTATGGGCAGTGTTGAATCAATGGGCAGTATTGAGTCAATGGGCAGTGTTGAGTCTATGGGCAGTGTTGAGTCTATGGGTAGTGTTGAGTCTATGGGCAGTGTTGAGTCGATGGGCAGTGTTGAGTCTATGGGCAGTGTTGAATCAATGGGCAGTGTTGAATCAATGGGCAGTATTGAGTCTATGGGCAGTGTTGAGTCTATGGGCAGTGTTGAGTCTATGGGCAGTATTGAGACTATGCGCAGTGTTGAGTCGATGGCCAGTGTTGAGTCTATGGGCAGTGTTGAGTCTATGGGCTGTGTTGAGTCTATGGGCAGTGTTGAGTCTATGGGCAGTGTTGAGTCTATGGGCAGTGCTGAGTCTATGGGCAGTGTTGAGTCTATGGGCAGTGTTGAGTCTATGGGCAGTGCTGAGTCTATGGGCAGTGTTGAGTCGATGGGCAGTGTTGAGTCTATGGGCACTGTTGAGTCTATGGGCAGTGTTGAGTCTATGGGCAGTGTTGAGTCGATAGGCAGTGTTGAGTCTATGGGCAGTGTTGAATCAATGGGCAGTATTGAGTCAATGGGCAGTGTTGAGTCTATGGGCAGTGTTGAGTCTATGGGTAGTGTTGAGTCTATGGGCAGTGTTGAGTCGATGGGCAGTGTTGAGTCTATGAGCAGTGTTGAATCAATGGGCAGTGTTGAATCAATGGGCAGTATTGAGTCAATGGGCAGTGTTGAGTCTATGGGCAGTGTTGAGTCTATGGGCAGTGTTGAGTCGATGGGCAGTGTTGAGTCTATGGGCAGTGTTGAGTCTATGGGCACTGTTGAGTCTATGGGCAGTGTTGAGTCTATGGGCAGTGTTGAGTCGATGGGCAGTATTTAGTCTATGGGCAGTGTTGAGTCTATGGGCAGTGTTGAGTCTATGGGCAGTGTTGAGTCGATGGGCAGTATTTAGTCTATGGGCAGTGTTGAGTCTATGGGCAGTGTTGAGTCTATGGGCAGTATTGAGTCTATGGGCAGTGTTGAGTCTATGGGCAGTGTTGAGTCTATGGGCAGTGTTGAGTCTATGGGCAGTATTTAGTCTATGGGCAGTGTTGAGTCTATGGGCAGTGCTGCTCAATGTTCAGGGGAAGTTTACTCCAGTGGAGGGGTGCAATGGAGTGAGAAAGACCGAAATTGGATTGGGCACCACGGGGAGAAGGAGAGGCAGAGAGAAAGAGAAGATTGGGAAGGAATTCAGACCTGCGGTCATTCTCGCAGTCGATTGAGGCTAAAGCCTTCGACCAAAGACGGTGACCACCGCATCGCGCGGCGCTTTCAGATGCGCTTCTGCGGCCGTCTGGAACGCCTCTTCCTTTTGATATTAGGTAACCGCTGGAGCTATGATGCACTTTTAAATCATCATCTAGATTGACAAAACTAGATGATGAGCGCGTTTCGGCTACGTACGCTGCGAGAGAAGTCCAACGTTCCGTAACACACACACACACACGAGGGCATTGGTTTCGCATGGAAGTTACGGGCGGAGAGGCTGCGTTGTAAAACTTTCGACGAGACATCGACGGTGACTCACAAAGTGCGGCGCTCATTAAACCCGTTGCAAGCTCGGGCCTCCGTTGGCTTGGCATTCGGACGGAATTTGCAAGACGCTTACAGAGCCTCGCGTGAGATCGCGCGCGTTCATCCCAGGGCGCCTCGCCGAGCCTCGCGTGCGCAACCACAGAGATACGGACGCGTAACAACAACAATAACAACAACTACCACGATAACGCCGCACATGCAAAGGCACAGATAGCCCCGTAGAGCCGGAGTAGAATGTTTGGGGCAAGTGCTGTTAGCGAGCACTTAGGAAGGCCGGCACGGCACACGAAGGGGTGGGTGGCCAGCACCACGCCCGGCCGCCTTTGTCTCCCCTGGTGGCGACAGTTACTACACAGCTCACCAAGTACTACGAACGCGGTGATCCGTGTTTGATTCCCGCTCGCGGCCACAAATACCAGTGTCGAATATCTGAACTATTCTTGGGCCTCCCCTAGGTCGACTCAGCCTTAAACGAGTACAGTACCTGGTGCGGTGTGTAAACATCACGACTGGGGAGACAAAGGCGGCTGCGCGTGGTTTTGGCCAGCCATCACTTCGCGTGGCGTTCCGGCCTTCATAGGTGCTCGCTAACCACACTTGCCCCAACAGTCTGTTGAAGGCTACTTGGGGGATCTTTGTCTTTTTGTTTCCCGTTATCTGACGATTTGTCCTTCCCTCGCCCTCCCTGTCGATCTCCTAAACCCTCACCCCGCTCTCCCCTCCCTCTCCCTTTCGTCCCATTGCTACTCCCCATCACGCTCCCCCACTCTCTCTCTCTCTACTCTCCCCTTCATATACTCTCCTATCCCTCACTCTCCGCTAATTCCATCCCCACTCTCCTTTTCATCTCCCCTAAGACCGCCCCGCTCTCCCTCCTGTCTCACTTCACTCGCTCTCACCTTTCTCTCCCCCCCCTCTCTCCCCTCGCGTCTCCCTTCACCTCCCCCTCTCTCTTCTCTCACTTCACTCTCAGCTTTCACTCTCCCTTCATTGATTCTCACCATCCTCTCCCCAACTCTCCACTTCCCATCCCCCCCCCTCTCTCTATCCCCTCTCTTCATTCTCCCCTTGCACCCCTTTGCCCCCCCCTCTTGCCCCCCTCCCCCCCCCACACAGACGGCCGCAGCCTGTGGGAGGCGGAGGCGAGTCTGGTGAGGGATACAGCTCAGGCGGTGAGTCCCGCTCGGCTGAGTCGTCACGAGTTTCAGATTCTCCTTCCCGGCGTCTCCCTCCTCCTCCTCTTCCTCCTCCTCCTGCTGCTGCTCCTGCTGCTGCTGCTCCTCCTCCTCCTGCTGCTGCTGCTCCTCTTCCTCCTCCTCCTGCTGCTGCTGCTCCTGCTGCTGCTGCTCCTCTTCCTCCTCCTCCTCCTGCTGCTCCTCCTGCTGCTGCTCCTCCTCGCCAGATGTCACGGCCCCGCCGCTCCGTGCGTGGGAGAGGCTCGCGGCAGTCTCGGGGAGTCGCTCCCCCCCCCCCCCCCCCACTGCCCCTCCCCCACCCACCCCACCGCCACCACCGCCACCACCCTCTGCATACAGCGAGACCTGATGAAGAGGGGGGGGCAGTGGCGAAACCCAGGGGTGGTGGGGGGGGGTGCTATGGGGGAAATTCCCTGCCCCCCCCCCCACGCCCAATCCCAGGCCCCCATTAAGTACCAGAAAATTGGCGTTGTTCGATTGATATTGAAGACTCAAAATTCAAATTAATTGATTGTCATTGTATCGCATGAATGTATAGGGCCCTCTTTAAAATGCATGCATTTTCTGAATCGCCACCCCCCCCCCCGGGAAGTTTCTAGATCTACCTCTGGTTGGTGGGGGGGGGGGGGGTCATTCAAAACTCAGGGCGGGGGGGGGGCATGAAGAGGATATTATTGTATCGACCCTGAAAGGATGATGGGCTCGTTGTGAGCCCATCATGCGAGTAGCGTGGTGTGTGTGTGTGGTAAGGCGTAGTGTGCCATGGCATGTGGTGCGGTGTGCACGGTGCGGTGTGTATGGCCGTTGTATGGCCTCACAGTGCACCTAGCCTGGCACAGATGCCGTGGGGACGTCTCCGTCGCTTAGTGGCGAATTTTTTTGCTTGCATTGGTATTGGTGTGGCCGTGGTGTGATGGGCGTGGGGTGTGTCGTGCAGGCGGTGTGGCCGTGGTGTGATGGGGTGGGGTGTGTCGTGCGCGTGGTGTGGCCGTGGTGTGATGGGGTGGGGTGTGTCGTGCGCGTGGTGTGGCCGTGGTGTGATGGGATGGGGTGTGTCGTGCGGGTGGTGTGGCCGTGTTCAGGGCCGCATCGTGGTGCGGGTTCCCCCGTATCAGGACAGGCTGGTGGGCACGCCGGTGCGCGTACAGTTCCACGTTTACAACGGCAAGCGCAAGCGCAGTCAGCCGCAACGCTACACCTACCTGCCTACCACAGGTACCCAGCCGCAACGCTACACCTACCTGTCTACCACAGGTACCCAGCCGCAACGCTACACCTACCTGCCTACCACAGGTACCCAGCCTCCCCTACTCACCTTACGCAGCTCGCACTTCCGATTAGCGCTGTTGGCTACGTACGGTGCAAAATAAATTCAACGTCCTGTATACACAAACAAAGAGCCCTCCCCCACGTAGCCTCGAACAGGCTGTTGGGACAAGTGCTGTTAGCCATTTCGTGGGATCCTTTTTGCCAGTATGAAAAATAAGAATCGGTTTTACCCCTTCCGGCAATAAAACAAGTACAGTATGAAGATGTGATGTCTGCTCTAACCACACACGGTAATTGTGGTGAACATGCAAACAAAACATGGTCTGATAACACTGTGTAGCAAAACAAATGTTTGTTCCTGGGTAGTGTTATTTCCTAATTGCTCATGCCTCAAAAGTACAGAAAATTATTATTATTCCCCACAAACTTTGCTTTAATGACCAGGACAGCGATATTTTGAAATTTACCTATTTTCAATGAGAAAACGTGCGAATTTGTGTTTTTTCGTTCACGTAAAGTCAGAAACAACAACATATGAATCACAATTCGCATGTAGTTATACTAAAGTAATACAAAAATGACTGCAAAAGATTTAGACACCGAGGTGCACTACCACAGGCTGGACTGGCTACAGCGGACCGAGTTATTTGTGGGGAGGAGGAACAACCTCGACAAACTACTCACTTCTAAATCTTTTTAGTCATTTTGTATTACTTCAGTATAAATACACGTTAATTTTGATTCATATGTTGTTTTTTCTGACTTTGTGTGAACGAAAAGACACAAATTCACCCGATTTCACATTGAAAATAGATACATTTCAAAATATCACTGTCCTGTTCATAAAAGCAAAGTTTGTGGGGAATGATAGCCATTTTCTGTACTTTTTAGGCATAAGCAATTACGAAATAACACTTACTACCCAGGAACAAAAATTGTGTTACATAGTGTAATGTCTGCATTGTCTTAGGAACTGATTGGCCTGTCAGCGAGTAGCACCTACTCGTTTTGAGGCCCGGGACCGGTTCGGATAATTGTCACTGTTGTTTGTGGCCGTTAGCCGGAATCGAACTCGGGTAGCGGGGATCGTAGCGCAGTGCGCTGACTGCTGCACTACCGCTCCACACACTTACACAAGTGCTGTTGGCGAGTGGCACCTATGAATGCTGGCACGGCACACGAGGAGGTGTGGGGTGTCCAGCACCACGCCCGGTCGCCTTGTCTCCCCAGCGGCGATGGTTTACACACCGCACCATTTGAGGCTGATTCGACACATGCACACACTTTGACACATTTTTAACACACGTGAACTTCCACACACCAGAGTCACATGACACAGGAGCGTGCATTTTATTTATTTACTTCAGGTCATTCCCGGCTCCGTTTACATTACAAGCGAGTCTGGTTACAATCAACTTCCATCCTTCCCTCTCGCATGCTCGCTCGCAGATTATTTGGGAAATTCGAACGGCTCCTTAGCGACTCCTCTCTCTCCCGAACGCTGTCGGGCATAGCCACGCTTTGTGAGTCGCGCCTTATCCACGCAGTTAAATGTTTACTCGAGTGATTAAATAGCTCACGAGATGCCAAGCACAATTAATGTTAACTACCTCGCCTGGTATACAGGAGGTCGTGTGTTTGATCCGAGACCCTGAGGATGCCTGATTTATATTTGGAGTTTGCGGTGTCTTTCTCTCTCTCTCTCCCCGTGGTCGCGTGGATTTTTCTCCGGGTCCTCCGGTTTAGTTTTTTCCCCTCCACATTTATCAGTCAACGTCACGCGTTCAGAAAATTCGGCTGCTATAAATGTCCACGTGATGATAGGCCACTTCGATGAGCCATCGTTTGTGGTGGCCAGGTCGCTTCTGAAAACAAGAGCGCGCTGCAGCTCAGTGGGCCTGAAGTGTTTTCATGAAATAAATAGTTTATCGTTTTATTTATAGTTTTGAATAATTATCCCTTTCCTGTTCGCCGCTTTGCCAATCCACTTCGCTATATGCTCTCGGGCGAGTTGTGCCGCCGTGCGCTGCTCGGCACGATGTCCGACATTTCGCTGTAAGTTCTCGGTAAGGACCTTCTTTCCCGGGAAACTGATAATCAGGAAAACAAATAGGATAGAGACTTGACTTTTAAACAACTTTTATTGCCGCCAGCAGCAACAGCGCTGGTGGCGATTCCGATATGAAATTCAAAGTCACCTGCAAACAAATAATCGCTCTAAATCCACGCGCTGTGGCGCTAAATGCAGCGCGCACAACACGAAAGAAAAGTCACGTGGTGGTGGTGGTGGTCATCGCGCACGCCACGGTGACGAGCGAGCGCTTCAGAAGGTGAACACGTGGGGGGTGCCGTCCACGCTGGTACAGAGAGGGGCTTTTCCGGCTCCCCAGCGTTCGAAGAAGACGTGCACATCACCGACACGTGTGTGGTGTGCGTGAGAGAGAGAGAGATAAATAGATAAAAACTAAACCGAACTTCTTTGGTTCTTTCGGTAAAGTCACGTAGAATGAGAATAAAATAATAAAATAAGACAATAAAATTCTCACGACGTTTCGGCCACAACACAAGCAGCCTTCATCAGGTGAAAGAACAGAACTGTCGGGACGACAGTGCACTGTCATTCTACGTGACTTTACCGAAAGAACCAAAGAAGATGAATCCTTGCAGTCACGAAAGCTTTAAATCGAAAAATTAAACCGAACTTCTTTGATTTTACCACTAAAACCCACTGAGCTATATAGATGTATTTTTTTTAAGCAACATTGATTACAAATTATAACTCAACGAAGTGGCTTATCACGTGGGAATTTCTAGCACCCAAATACTTTACGTGATGTGAATTCTCAAAAACGTGGAGGGGAAACCCCGGAGAAAGATCTACGCGAGCACGGGAAGACAGAGACGCAAACTCCAAATATACAGCAGCAGCAGGCGTCAGTGTCGGGATCGAACCCACGGCCTCCTGTAAACCAGGCGAGGTAGTTAACATCTCATAGCCACCGCGGCACTCCCTAACGAACGAACCAATGAGAGAGACGCTCACTCACTCGCTATGGCGAGGCGCCGTGAACCTTTGACGACGCCACGTGGCAGTAATTTCTCATGAAGGGTGGGGGTTGATGGTGGGGGGAGGGGTGTGGTTGCGGGAGGCGCGGGGGGGGGGGGGGGGACATGGCTGGTTGACTTTATTTGAGCGGTTTGAGTTGCTGCGAGGCGTGGGAGAGAACCGGGTTGGTAGACCCCCCCCGGGACCCCCCCCCGGGAGCCCCCTCCGGGACCCCCCCCAGGACCCCCCCCGGGACCCCCCCCCGGGACCCCCCCCCCGGGACCCCCCCCCGCCCCCCGTTGTCCCGCCCATCCGCGGGCGACGCTACTTCATTGAACGCGGCCACGTGAAAGCCTCCAACCCACAGCACCCCTCCCACCACCACCCTCGACCCACCAATTATCAACGTCCCGCAACTGATATTCAGACATCCACCCGTGGCTCATGGCGACATCTCCGCCGCACTTCATCGGGCGCCGCCGTTGCAGCCCCCCAAGGCGGTCGCTAGCGGCACTTGGCCCGTCAATCGGTGGCGGCTACACGGGGGGGGGGGGTTGGGCTGGGGATCGTTGTCTTTTTTTTGTTCTACCTTGTTTGGGCTACCC